AGTACAGATTCCTGAACGATGAAAAGCCATGGCTGCCTCTTCAATAGCATGGAAAGCTGAGAACCAACAATTCCGCAACTCTCCATAAAGGCAATATTTCCTAACAACCTTGATTTTGGGTCCCTTGTAACTACCCAATTACATCTATGTAAAACCCGAATCAAATCTTTAGCATTCTCATCATTCCCCAAAAGTTTCTTCAGAATTTCAATACAGGGTACTAATTTTCTGTCCAAACTAGCAGTCAACAGTGTGGAATTTTTGGAAATGAACCTAGCGAGATCAGAACCCAAAAGACCCAATTGTTGAAAGAAGTCAAGCTTAGGCCTCAGGGTTTTGTCAATATTAGAAAACAAAATTTGGGGTGAGACACGCACAGCGGATTGGATATGGGTGTCAGAGAGTCCAAGTTCTCGAAGAAAGCTATACACAGATTGAGGCTTTTCAGGGGATGTGACCCATGAGAATCGACTTGAGATTGAAAGGGCTTGGGTTTTGGTGAATTTGAAGGTATTGACAAGGTAATCGGCGAGGTGGGAGTTTCCATTTGGTTTTAGAATTTGGGTGGGTGAAGATAGAGATGAAAAAAGAGAGATGGAAAGTTTGGCTGCATTAGAGGGAAGGTACCGGAAATATAGAGGTGAGCGTGAGAACACAAGCGGTTTCAAGGCTTGCATTTGCATCTATAGCCATATGCAAGTACATCTATACATACATTGTGTGTGTGCAAAACACAGAGAGAGAGAGAGAGAGAGAGAGAGAGAGAGAGAGAGAGAGAGAGAGATGTTCTGTGCAACTATGAAAGAACAAAAAAGTGATTTGAGGTGAAATCTAAGGTATACGAAAGATCTAAAGGAACAGCTAAATGATGTTTCTAATAAAGAAAAGAAACACTGTACATTGGACAAGGAAGACGTTTGTTTCTCACTTGTACTGATTCTTATCTCAGTCATGTCGTGGATTGCTAGTACTGGTACCTGGTATCCATTCTTAGACCAAGTAACGTTGCCTTGCTTGTACCAGGCTGAGGCTGAGATATATTCTGTAAACAAGCATGAAAGATGGTTGTATTAATTTACTACACACAACCAACTTCAAAAAGAGTAGGAAGAAAGAATATAAAGTTTGGGGAGAAGGTGAAGAGCCAATCCAAGAGCATGACCGCGTATACTTCCTCTTAAACATGGAAAATGCATACTTTTTGTGAAGTTGAAGTTCAAACATGCAACTAAGCTGAAATAACAAATAAATTCAATCCAATTCCAATACCCACATTCCACAGTCACTCCATATTTTCCAATAACAACCAGGACCGTCCCTCCAAAACATTACAAGTACAACATGAATGCTGATTCTCGTAAGAACACACAACTTACTGAAATAACAAATCAATTCAATTACACTCTAAGACTTGGATTTAAGTATCAGATATATATATATATATATATATATATATATATGCGTGTGTGTGTTTGTGTGTGTGTGTTTATACTTTATATGCAATATTTTTTTGACAAATAAGCTATACATCAAACATATGACTAGGACGCCCTAGCTAAATGTTGATCTACAAATTTGCAGTCAGTATGATCCTGTCAAAATCTATCATGTCAATTAAGTAACAGTATACCCGAGCTCGACACACAAATTATACCACTAAAAAAAATTGAATGGAATTGAACTCTGATTCCCCCAAATCCATGAAAAAATTGAATGGAATTGAACTCTGATTCCACCAATCCATAAATAGTACCCAGCTACATCCCCACCCCGCAGAAGGTAAAACAATTGCAGATGAGAGAATTAGAAGGGGAAGAACTCACAATAAACTCGCAAAAGAATCGAAAAAGAAAAATGAAAATCCTAAGAGAATTACACAGAAAACTGATGGGTTTATCCATCAGAAACGTAAATTGAAGACGACAATTAGGAGGGAAAAACCTTTTTTAGCTTTGACTTTGGCGATGGTTTCGATTTCCAACGGGAGGAGGCTGTCGGTCTGTCTATGCAGCGACGGAGATGGAGATGGAGGTGGAGACGGGAGAGGGAGTGTGGACTGTGGACGGAGAGAGATTACCGCCTTAGTGCGCTTAATTCTTAATTTTTTTTGGACTTTTAATTTGTTAAATAGTGTTTCCCTAAGTTTAGAATTGCGAGTGACATGGTACATTCACATAGCACTAGCTAGCAATTCGTGCAATTAAATTTTGTCGTAGACTGATTTATAATTTTAATAGAGGGTTCTAATTCAATTTTTGTAATTAACGATCGTTGGATTATCAATTACAAAAATCGTACATGGTATAATTATCAAAAGAATTGAATAATCGAACCATTGTATCGAATTTCAACGAACAGACATTAAATGTGAGCTCAGGATATCGAGAATATCTCGCTATCCAAAATCCATAAATTTTGACTATTCCCCACTCGTTGCCACATGCACAGCTGTGCGGCGATCGCAAACCCACTTTTTTTGCTAACTTCAAATTCTACCAAAATTTACAGGAAGATATAGCTTAACAAGAGGAACAAATTTTACACATGCCACAAAGTCTAAAAGTGGACGAAAAGGGTGCCTAAAGCTTCTCGGCATCGATTAGCCGCCTACAGTGGTCAAATGGGGTCAAGTCTAGTCGGGATTTACTCCTGGGATGATAGGCTACAAGTTCCAAGTGGTAGCATCGGCCATCACTTTGCCGATTCACCAGAAAAATGAAAGGGTGGCCGAAGCACTGTTGATTTTCGTCGGATTTTGTGACCTTGCACAGCCACGTACTGTGGTTAAAGGGGTTGCTTCTTGGGTGCGGTTTGTAGAGGGAAGTGAGAGCTTTAATTTGGTGGTGGTGGCGTCGAAAAATTCCATCGGAGTTGGCCGGAATCGGCATTGGAAAGTCATGGGTTGCGGTGGGTCACTTGGGTTGGGTTTCTGGACTTTTAGGTACAGTTTCCCGAAATGGAAACCTCCAAGAATCTGGGTATCCACTTGTGGAAGCCCACTGTTTCTGGTCAGGTTTAAATAACCAAAATATCTCCCACTTTAAACGTTTCTAACTTCTTCATTATAACTCAGAATATTTTCGGGGTATTTTCGGCCTTTTGGACTCTTCGGTTGGAGATGGCCTAAGATCCGTTTGCTCTTACGCACTCGTGGGTTCAAGCTTTACCTAAACAACTCAAGAGTTGATTGAAAATGTCGAATAAAATTGGAAATAACTAAAGTACCCCCACTTCACTGTTCTCAAAACCGGAGAATTAACGAACTAACTTCAATTAAATCTTCAAAATACGTTTAAAAAGAAATAAAATACTAATTTTGGGGACGGGATTGTAGACATCGAAATTTGGAATTTTCCGTGTTCACAGGGATATCACATGAAATCTCAGCATCTGATTTGCATAGATCGTGCTCAGCTTTGACAAGTGTCCCTTGTCCTTGACTGACCATAAAAAAGCAACTTCCTTTTTAAAACCCTAATTGTCTTTCATTTGCTCCTTGGCTAGGATATTTGCATTTCAGAAAAGAGTGTCTTTAATTTAGAGTTACCTCTTGTGTTCTTGTTAAAAGCCATAGCTGCAAAACCGACTTCATGCATTAATACCCAAATCATTGTATAACAGGGTTGCATTCTACCTCCTGCATCACAAATGTTCGTAGAAAACGAAAATCTTTAGAAGAAGACCAATTGTTTCCTCAATTAGTCAATCCATGATAATCATTGAAGGGCTATTTGCCCCAATCAACCAAATTGATACATATCTACGAACCACAAAAATCGAATCCAAAAGAATGAACATTGCCCACAAAAACGCAAATCAAACCCGACAAACACACATTGAATCAAAATCAAATCTATTTTTCAATGTATCTGGAGCACAAAGCAGAACATTACATGTGATTATACAATTAGAGGCATTTGAAAAGAAAAAATTTCCTTTAATTACATAACAACATGTAGTTTTCCGCTCCATATTCTGAATATATTGAAAAATCTTTTCTTAATTTCGTATGTAAAGCAACGTTGCATTCAAAATTTTGAATATCTAACATGATGACCCTCATCTTTCTGTCAATTACTTTTCAACCCAACAAATTACCAAAATTTTAATTATATACAAACTTTAGTGAAGTTTACATTTTACTCCTCATTTACCCTTATATACAAATCGATCAAAATGGATTATAATCGGAAAAGAAACAAAATTAACCCAAGTCAGAGAAATATTTATTTATGGATCCGATTATAAATTTTTAATAATAAAAACTAAACCCTAAGAACTTTTTTTTTTAGAACAAACGATGTTATCTATACTAAGAGAGAAGACTCACAATAGTTAGCAATAATATGGTTCAAACTTATCTTTGGCGAGAATCAAACTTAAAACCTCTCACTTACATATGAAGAAGAATACCAATAGACTCTAGTAGTACTAAGTGACAAGCCCTAAGAATATTAAGGGATGGTTTGGTATTGATGTCCTTTGAAAAAAAACTACTGCTTCTGTGCTGTGAGAATAAGCTCATTTTTGCTGCTTCACGTTTTCAGTTTTTTTTTTAATCCAAAATTATGAAAATAAGCTGTTTTTAAGTATTTAACAAACACCTTTTTTAGTTCAGCTTTTTTTATACCCACTTTTTATAAAAGCAACTCAATACAAAACCAGTCCTAAAACCTCAATAACTAATGATCAGATGATATTTTACAACACATGTTTTATTTAGCGTTGTAAGTGTGATTAAAAGTTTATAACCGGTTTTTTTTTTCATATTTATTTTCAGCTACTGCCGACTTAGTAAAATGCTTGACCAAAGATTTTTTTTTTTGCGTAAAATGACTCTTCTGTACTGAACATACGACCGCAAAGCTTTTAGATTTTTTTTTGGACCGAGAGAGAGAGAGTGCCTTGTTTGGGAGCGCGAAATTCTTCCGCCGGAAAAACGCGGAATCATTTATATAGCAGCAGTCTTTTCCTCAACGTAGAGTTAATGGTATCTCTCTCTCTCTCACTCTCTCTCTCTCTCTCTCTCTCTCTCTCTCTCTCTCTCTCTCTATATATATATAAATATGGTTTTAATCTTACTTCCTCTTGTTTTAACAGTTGCAATTTGTTTTTTGGGTGGAATTATGATTTTTTTACCTTCACTTTTAATGGAAATTGTATCGGAGAAACTAATTAAATTAGTGCACAAACCAATTATAATTTGTGTATAATTAAAAGTGGTGATTATTCACCTTGTTTGTGACTGATAGAATTTGAATTCGGATTGTTATTTGGGTGTGCATTTTGATGTATGAAATTGTAGTGAACGTTCTGAGTTTACTTGTTCAATTCAAGTGAACTTGTAAGAAGAAATGGCTGGTAGCCTTATACTAGTACTCTACTACACTGTCTAGTACTTTGATAGTTGTACCGCGACGTAGGAACACCGGAATCTTTGCAACTGAGTGTTGTTCATCAGTTCCTGAAAACCTCCGTTTTTCGTCATCAAGACGTTGGTTCATTAAATTAGGTAACATCTTGGAGCTCCAATGTCAGTCAGCTTTCATGTAAGGAGTTATTTCATGAAGATGAACAGCATTTCCTGCATTCTTGTCTGTGCAAAGTTGGCACAAATTTAGGGTAATATTCTTTGAGATGAATCCGAACGAATGTTGATGTGATTTATTTCGATTCGGTTGGACTTGATATGTGATTTCTTCGAATTCGTAGCTGCTTTCTAGTCTATAAGTGACTGTTGGACATCGTATTTTGAGGCGCTTTGGACATTCAGAACATATATTGCTCGTTGTAGATGGCGAGCGAGGGTACTTCGGCTTGTAATGTTCTACGCGTATATGTTTGTTTCTTTGTAACAGGTCTCTTTTGTGGGTTTAGATGGCGAACTGCTCTGCTCGGTCAAGGGGACGAACGCTGCAGCATCAGGGGCACCAGTTGAGGGCTAAATGGACAATGCAGCTTACTAAGATACTGGTGAACTTAATGGTGGATCAAGTACACAGAGGGAATAGACAAAATGGTCATATGGGAAAGAAAGCATGGAAGTCTGTATGCGATGAATTCCATAAGAGAACGGGTCTGAAATGGGACAAGGAACAACTGAAGAACCGATGCACTGTTTTGAGGAGGATGTATGTTACAGTCAAGTCGCTGCTTGATCGAAGTGACTTCAGTTGGGATGAATCCACCGGGGTTATTGCAGCCAGCAATGCAGTGTGGGCTGAACACATCAGGGTATGTTCGTTTAATATCTGTTGCTTGTAAACTACAATTCGAAATCTACCTGATGCGGACGAATCTTCTTGGAGCAGGAACATCCTGATGCTGAGACTCTAAAAACCAGTGGCTGCCCAATTTTCAAAGAGCTATGCACTATATTTTCAAAACCGCCAACGAACGGGAAACATGACCATCCAGCTGAACATGAGGGTGGGGATCCAAATTCACGTCCATCGGAGCCCGTGTCCTTGAACCAAGAAGAGTCCTCATCAGATTCTCAGGAAGGAGATGATGCTGTAAATGGTCAGGAAACATTTCAACCTGCCATCCGCAAAAGAGGACGCAAGGGCACTGATGATGCTATTGCGGGTGCTATATTGGAGATGGCGGCTGCGTCAAGGCTGAGGGCGGCCGCTACACAGCAACGTGATGCTAGATATACAATAGCTAGTTGTATCGAGGAATTGGATAAAATGCAAGGTGTTGATGAACACGTCTATTTCGCTGCTCTCGATCTGTTCAACAAACCAGTTGCAAGGGAGATGTTCTTGTCTCTCAAAGGCGAAAAACGCTTGATTTGGTTGCGTAGCAAGTGCACAGCAGCTCCTGCTCTCTAGATTGATAACTTTATGTAGTTTTGATGTTATCTAATCTGTATTATGTGACTCTTGGCTTGTGTATGTCCAACTCCGCCAGCCTGGTTTTACCCTATTTTGTCGAAGTTCCGTTTTGTCCGAACTCCGAACCCGAAATCTTCATGGTTCATAACAATTGTCATAAAAATTCATACAAACTGGTAAACAGACCAAAAACACCTCATTAAGAATAATTAAGTAAACCAAACAGTCACCCTGAAAGAAGAAAAAGGAAACTATCAAGCTTAAACAAGCGAGAAGTTCCGAACGCCTTTCCCGCAACAAAACAGAACAAAGATGTGAAAAGTTGAAAACTAACTAGAATCCTCTTGCTCTGTTGCATTCCGAGTACTCAATCTCTTCGGTATCCATTCTTTTCCTAATCTGCGTAAACTGTCAAGTTTATCTTCGAAAGGGGGATCCTGTCACTGCTAGTCCCCTCCGCTACGGTTAATGGTTACTGAAAGGATGTGCATCTATCTATACATGAAAACTGATCTTACTGAAGGGATGCGCAATATACAGAAAAAAACTGATTACCGTGTTTCCAATCTTACTGAATTTGAACTTTTTCCCTCAAGGTAGTAACATCTTAACATCAAGCTCCTGATCAGCACTTTTCGATTGGTTATATAGTTGCTCAAAAGCCTGCATACACACACTTGAAAACCCAACCATCGCCTCAAAGACATGTGGAAACCCCATCTGCAAGTTACTTATTGTCACGGTCCTCGTCACATTCACTAACTTTTCATGCTTGCTTTTCTCCTCCTCCGCTTTTGCTCTCAGGACCTCTATTTTTGCTCGCTTCTCAGCAACTGGGTTCTTTTTAGCATTGCCCGAGGAATCGGGCATCGAGTATGGCCCATACCTGGACTCGAGCGATCTAAGCACAGTTGCTTTCTTCTCAAGCTCTTTAAATGTAGATTCTGACTTCCGTTTTTGCTTGTATTCTTCTGCTTGTTGGACTACAATAGCATGAACTACGGTTAAAAAGCTTTTGATTCCTTCAGATGCTACTTTGTCGGGAATCCGGTCAATTGCATGATGCCATTCTTCGCAAAGCGTGTAAATTCTTGATTCTTGACTTGTCTTTGCTATTGGATGTCTCCGAAACTGAAAAAGGCTAAGACGGAGCCATCCTGTGAGAGACTGGATATAGTCACGCTGAGCCTTGACCAGGCTGCAAAATGATAAATGCCATTGCTGAACTTGAAGCTCGAGCTGGAGTGCTGCTTGCCGGTGAATCTCAGACGTGGGTTCGGTAGATGGAATGGTGTTGAGGTATCTGAGCTGCTGAACAATATGCTTTTGGACCTGGTGGCACTCATACATGCTTCTCCACATGCACATCAATCTGTAAAGCAAATATACTCCGTCAACAGTAAAAATTGCTTCTTTTGGGAAGTGTTGCCTGATTGTTCTACAACAATAGCTACTCAACAAAAGTTTACACGGCTCTTTAAAAATCAGTACATCGTTCGAAAGAAAAGCAAACAAGGGACGCAAAAACAACAAATAAAAAGCAGTCAAAAGAAAATAGCCATATATTCAATATCTTTTCGCTATTCATTCAAAAAAAGATATTTAATGAAAAAAGACGTAACAGAAAAGAAAATATTCGACAAAAAAAAGAAAGAAAAGAAAATAAGATACGGTATTTTTTTTTATTTTGGTTCCTTCTAAGTAAGATAGGAATGAAAAGAAATTGCACGGTATCAATTCGATGAGTGCAAGACTAACCCTTTGACAAGCTCGATGAGTTGAGGGTAGAGCTCAGTCTCACGAAGGTTGATGATTTCAGCAGACGTTGTCTCAATGGTCTGTGAAGAAACCATCATTTGCGACTCCAACTTTTCCACCTCTTTCTTCGTCTTCTCTGTCTTCACATAGTCTCCCCTCTTCATCTCTAGCTTCTTCAGTGTTGACACCCTCTTCTCATGCTCTACCTTTAGTGTCTCCGAATCCTAAAACCACACCAGAAAACATATGTAAACCGAATTATAAAACTCATGGATGTGCACGATGTCATTGAATAACTTCAAATTCCAAAACATTCGTATGTTATGCTTGGGCCCAAAGAACGACTTCCATTCAACGGTGATGACTTTGTGGCGGTATCACATGTCAGTGCATAATCTCATTGAAAAACATTAAAACCCCCAAAGTTCAAAAGTTATTCTTGGGATATAATGCTACAGTTACCAATTTTTGGATACCAACTGATGTGACAATTTCTTATTTTTGTGAATAGATAAGGTCCACCGCCGGCGTACACATAGAAACACCACCACATAAATTGGTATCCAAAGTCGTTTTAATAAGTTGGCGACTCTAGCGTTACTCTGGGACACTAAAGTAAGAAGGATAAAATGTTTTTATGGACAAAAGCTCAACCAGGAGCCCACAAAATACATGATAACCAAAAGTTTACCTTGACCTCCTGGTATAATTTTTTTTCCCAAGCGTAAAGCCTCTCCACAGTAGAACAATGGCTACTATTCGCCACACCTTCATCTCCAACCCCACCACCTACTTGATTAAGCACCATCTCATCACAACCCATTTTACCGAATCCTCCAAACTTTTGACTTGAACTTCCCCATGTCCACAGCGACTGACTCAAATTACACCCATGATCATAAATTTTACCTGCCAAAAAAATCCATCTACTACATCAAAACACACAACGAGTAAAGGGAACTGTTCCTGGCACCCCAAAAAATCGCCCTTCACTTGTCGTTAATAAACACAATTTGGAGAAATTGCACTTCGAGCGGTGCATGATGACTATTTTGTTGTGATGGTTTCAAATTACACTTGTAATTATAAACATAACGAAAATATGGAGAAATTGTTATTGACACTCCAAAAAGGTTGTCGTCACATGATGGAGCAAAATGCATTTCAAGCAGTGCACGATGACTATTTTCGAGTGCAAAAACAGTTCTCAAAAGTAAAGTTCTCTTTCCTCTCATTTTTTCCCCTCAATTCCTCATCAATCAAGCAAACAAACATGGTTAAAAAAAGTAAAAATATTAAAACTTTATCCTCTAAACAACAGTAAAACTAAAAAACCTTTACCTCCTTTGGTCTGAGAAGAAGAGAATCTGGGAACTTCCAAGAGCGAAGAGAGCATTCCGCCGGCATCAGCAGCCTTGAGAAAATACTCATCCAGCTCTTTTATAATCTCAACCAGATCCTTAGCATTTCTCGACACCACCATCGCGAGCTCACTTGTTGTCGTCCCGCTCTCTTTCGAAAATCCGCTCACCACCGACGGCGGTTCCGCCGTGCTCGCCGCAGTGACGGTGACCACCGCCTCCGAAGCGGTAGTCGTAGATTCCCACTCTTCTTCCGTCACTGGCCTTGAAGAGGAAGCCACAAATGGGTCCCAGAAATCCCACGTGGACGAAGGTGGCGGTGGCGGCGGAGGTGGGCGAGCTGTTGAGGGTGTGGTGGAAGTCGTCCACGAATCGGAACTTGAGCTGAGTGGAGGTGGTGGCGGTGGCGGTTGTGGGGTTGGCGGGGTTTGCAGCGGCGGCTGCTGTGACTGGTAGTTGTCGTGGTGGTGGTGATTGTAGTTGTGGGGGTGGTTGTGGTTGTAGTTGTGGTGGTGGTGATGGAGGGTAGTTTCGGCATTCGAAAACTGGAGCAGAGCAGAGCCCGTGCAGCGGAGAGAGCGCAGGTACATGGTGTGAGCAGCTGACCAAGCTTGCCGTGCTTTCACCAGCTGCTTCATGTACCGCTTTCTCGATTTGCATCTCGACACCATTTCTTCCCGTTCTACCCTCGAATAGCAGCATCCCATTTTTGGTCCTGGTCAGCTCGATTTGCTGCTAAAGAAAAGCAGAGAAAAAAAAGAAGAAAAATTCAGAAGAAGAAGAGGGGCTTTTTGGGAACAGAAATAACATGGGTTCTTTTGGCTGCTTATGAAGCTTGCTATGTCTCCATGAATGGAGGCCGTAAAAACTCAAAAGTGCTTCTTTCCCCCGCACATTTTGAACTTACCTAAAAAAATTTCAGTGTTTTAGCAGCTACAAATTGACTTCTTCTTGTAGGGTCTTCTGGGTTGGAAAAGTAACATTTACAAACTTTGATTTGAATTTTGATGTCAACTCTGGAGCTTTTGATCTCTGTGCGTGCTCCTCTCTCTCTCTCTCTCTCTCTCCTCTCTGTGTGTATTGTTTCTCTCTCTAGAGAGTAGAGAGACGGTGGAGTTTGGGAGTTTATCCTGATGTGGTGAAGGCACAAAAGGACGGACACTGAGCTGCAGCAGGGGCAATGTGGCTTTGGGCAGAGAGCCAGTGGGTGCCTTGTTTATATTTGAATTTAGTGACTAAATTGCCCTCACATTTGCACTGATTCGTCTGTGTCAGTCTCTGGAACTGAAACAGTCAGCATCCAAAGGTTTGAGTTTATGAGTATTGTACTTTACAAAAGCTTATTTTGTTGAAAAAACTAATGAAAATTATTTAAAAATTTTGTTTAAAGAAAATAATAAAATAAATAATACAATGATGGATTTTTTTAGTGTAAAAATATAATTTTTCGTTAAAATAAATAGTACGAGAAACTTTACATTAAAATTCTCTATTTCATTTACTTTTTGTTACTTTTACCATTGTTGGGGTTGCTATGGTAACAATAATACTCACCGATACTTTTTGTGGCAAAATAAATTCAAAGGTTGTGAATTATTTCTTGTTTACAAAAATAATTTCCGCGTATTCATGTCTCATTTGCTGTGCTAGGCTATAAAGAATTTTTTGAGTCCAGACCAAACAGATGAGGTGGTTCGGATGTTGGACATAAGACTTTCTCTTGGTCAATTAATTTACTCATGTCTCATCTACTTAGCTTCGTTTCGATTTTTAAAAGGATAGAACTTCAGTGCTGAAAGAATCAACAGCACCCTTGCTGATCACCAATCACGGTTGGACATGTGTCCAAGGTATGCTTAGAAAATCAATAACTTGGATATATGTCCAACCATAATTGGTTATCAGCAAGGGTTGTTGTTGATTCTTCAGCAGTTAAGTCCCGTTCTTTTTAAAATTATTGGGCCATATTAATGAGATTTTCTACCCATTTCAAGGGTGTGAATCATGTGATGTCCTTTGGAAATTTAGACATAAACATAAAGTAAATTCCTTTTTCTTTCCTTTCTATTTTTTAGAAGAGATCCCACTAAGTCCACAAAATTCAGTGATCCGAGTCCTTAAAATTTGATCCAACAACTAAAAGCAAGAGGTCTCTTTAAAAGTTATAATAATTTTAGACATCGGATCAAATTTCAAAAGTCCTGAACACTGAATTTGATGAACTTAGTAGGAGAGATGCGGAGATGATCTCTTCCCTTCATTTTTGGTCACTAGATTTTGAGAGCACGCTGACAGATTTAGGCACGAGGCCCTGAATTTCAACATTCGAATTCTATTGCATATTTGATGATTTGAGTCATCAACAATGTGGTGTGTAAACTATTGTATTTTCATGATTTATATGAACAAAATGTTATACACGTCATGTCATCTAAGTTTTTCTTTTCTCTTTATTCGAGAAATTTTTGTGGGGATAACTAGATCTCGTGACTGTTTAGCTTCGCGTACAAAACACCTCACATAATATTTTAATCTCACTTGCTCACTCTCCGTTTTCATCTCTTATGTTTGGTGACTTTATACGAATGTCTAAGATGAAGAAGTTTTTCTTATTTCACTCATAATATATCTTATCATGTGATGAGTGACAGAGAGACAATAACAACCTCTTTGACGACTTAGTCAAAATAATCAAATCATGCAGTCATGTTGTGCGATTTTATGCACCCGGATTTGAATACATAACTTTTTCTCACCGTTTGATTTGATCAAGCGACTGACATTGAGTGATTTGGTGACCCGCTGTGTACTATTAAATCTTGCCCAAATAATGAAAATCGCAACGTGGGCAGAGCGAGAGTTAGGTTAGATTAATAGAAAATGTAAGTCACTTATTAATAGGTATGCATGAACAATAATGTGTTGATCAAAGTACACTTCCACTTCTTAAAAATAAATTTCAATTGCTTGTTTGAAGTTATAAACAATGTACTATTGTATGAGTGGAGACGTTATATTTCAGTATAATCAAAACATGTATTTGGTGACAGATGTAAATTGAGATGAAGGTGGTCCCAAGACCACTCGGAGTTTGAGATATATACATGTAAAGGTCTTCTGAAGACTTTTTGAAGGTTTTCTGAGGACCCACTGATGTAATGTATGTTAGGCATATCTGAACAACACTTTGTATGATACATCGAGAACACTCGTCAATAATTGTTGACTTGTGCACAAATAATTCGGTTGATTACAACAAACTCACCAAAATGTTAGATGAAATTCCTCAGCGAATAAAATAAAAATAATTTGCTCTCTTCTCGCACTGTTTCTATTAAAAAACTTAAATCTTTAATACGATATCCTCATTGTTCAAATTCTAAATCCTTCACCATATATGTTAAAATTTAATAAATTAATAACACCACGTGACAATATTATTACCGCATCGTAAGAATTTCTTGCATGTGTGGAGCATTGTAGTGAACACAAACTCAGGTTAATATAATGCTTTCTTATTGTTACTTTATAGACCTAGTGCTTTCCAAAGCTGAATTCTCTGATTTGCTCAGATGCAAAGCAAATTATGCATCTTCGTGATCCTCCTGTACCAGAAAGTAATTAAGCAAGGAGATCAGAGCTTAAACCTGTTGCCACGTTTGGGTTTTCGTTTGGTTACCGACTAGTACACTGTAGATCCATGTGTAGCAGATTTTTTTGAAACATATGCAGCAGACCAACGGCATAAAAAATTGTACGAACTCACTTGGAACTCTTTGGCTTCCATGAGTACTCCATACGTTCACCCCATACCACTACAATTGAGAAAACAGGATTTTAACGAAAAATTTCTAGTACTGTTCATTTTAAGAAAAAACTACATTTTTACATTAAAAAGTCAATTTGGATACTATTCATTTTACCATTTATTTTGTCCTTATCGTTAAAACTCAAAGCTTTCAAATTCTTTCCATTAGTTTTTCTTTGAGAAAATCTATATTAAGAAGGGTAATGACAAATTTACGATTTTCTTTTTGAAGCACGACGAAGAAGTTTTAAGATTTATTATATAAACCACGAAGGTCCAAGCTAACCAATTTAAATGCTTTTTGCTTAGTAGGATAAGATAAACTTGTATTGTCACACAAAGTTCAGTAGGGCACTGAGTTTGTTATTCTGCATCTACAAAGTCTCTCACAAATACCGTGAGCCTCTCACAAAGTTCAGTAGGGCACTGAGTTTGTTAATCCAGCCTCGTTTGTGGAATTGTGGCAATTTTTTATTGAATGACCCTGAAAGTTAATTTAGTTTGCTTTCGTTTGATCGACGTATTGACTAGTGTTTACGTTGTACTTGAATCTTTATCAGGAGCTACTGAAAGGGGAATCAGAGGGGCTGTTGAAACTTCCCGCAGATAAGGCTTTACTGGACGATCTTGAGTTCCGCCGTGAAGTTGAACTTTATGCAAGGTACTTAATTCAGTTCATCTGTGGAAAATTGGTATATTCTGGGAACTTTAAGATCGATGAAATGTTGATTGACGAAATAAAGCTTTATCTTTTTGCTCATGCGGGATGAGGATGCGTTTTTCAAAGACTACGCAGCGTCACACAAGAAACTATCCGAGCTTACTGGCCGGTCCTGAAAATTTGGGGGTCCTAGGCAGGCCTTCGAAGTGGGGTACTAGAGTTCTCCAACTCTCGACCTTTTGTACATTGACATGTGCAAAAAAAAAAAAAAATCACTATATACATGAAAAGTCTATTTCTACATCAAATATCATTAAAATTTAATATAAAAAAAAAGATATATAAACATTACTCAAATATTATCCATCTCGCATTTTTAGATGCAAATGCACTTATTAAGTTTACATAATCTGATTTTTCAACCAATTCAAACCGAAAGAGAAGTCCCTACTCAGTACGCCAAATTCTAATCATTTTTCTATTATTACAATGTTACTTATTACATTCAATAAATGAATGAATGGTTGGATTACACAGACAACATCTTACAGCTAGGGAAAATACTAGAGTGAAGAGGATAGTAAATTTCGTATACGAACCTAGACGAACGAGACGGATTTGAATACTTTATTATAAATTATATAAACTAATTAATTTGAATATTAAATAATGTCATTTTTCAAAAAGGTGAGTATTAACCTTTCAGGTACATAATAAAGATATATGTGGTGTGATATTAAAATAGGGTAATAAAACCCTATAAAAATAAACATAACGGTGATATTTAAGAGACAAGCAAAAAAAGTAAAAATAAGATGATGAAAACTATTTAAAAGGGAGAAGACGTGCATCTATAAAAAAAGATGGGGGGACCATCTTAAGTAAAATCGTGCAATTAAAATGATGTTGGGAACATATTTGTCTTCTTCCTCGCGTGAGGCCAACCTTGCAACAAAAGATTTCTCGATTCCGGCCTTTACGTATAAGCCCGCATAGCTCTCACCTATCTCCGTCCAAATCTACAGAGTTCTGCCTAAAAATTGAGGGTCCTAGGCGGATGCCTACTCCGGCTACCCTCAGGGCCGGCCCTCCATCTTCCAGTGTGAAGGCAGCTGTGAAGACCAATACCATATTGGCACAAGTGTAGTGGGAGTTGCTGTTACTGCTGCGGTGGTGACCCTGAGTTACTTATACGAAGTTTGTAAAAATGTTGTCATTCTAATAATTTCATCATTAGATGTCGGTCATGTATATTTGATTCAGCGTCCATATTCATACTTCTTGTAAGCGAAGATATTCATACTTCCGATATTCATGATCACGTTTCTTGATTTTTCGTAACTTGACGAAGAAATATGAATATCATGAGAAAGAAGGTGCAAGATGCTTCCTTGCCCTCTCAAAACAGCAAACTAATTCTTTCTTGTTTACTTGGGAAACACTCTTGTTATCATTTCCCTTTATTCTGATTCTTCTTCTAAGCCCCTATATACATACACGGCAGCAAAAACTTTGTCATTTAGAATTGCAAATTCAGTATTCCTTTTACGTTTACACGCTCTCATGGCTGCGCCAATTGTAAACAAAGAGTACCTCCAGGAAATTGAGAAGGCTCGCCGAGACCTTCGTGCTCTTATCTACAGCAAGAACTGCGCTCCTATTATGCTTCGCATAGCGTAAATGTTTATCCTTGATTCTTCCTTAACATGTTTCCCCCATTAAATTTCCTTTGCTTGCTCGAGAAAGTTAGCTATTTCAGTGTACCGAACTTCTGATACGCTTATAACCATTGTATTTTGATAGGTGGCATGATGCTGGAACGTACGATGCTAGAACAAGGAATGGAATACCTGGAGGGCCTAACGGCTCTATCAGGAACAAGGAAGAGTTAAACCACAGTGCAAATAAGGGATTGGAAACTGCAGTTCAGTTTTGTGGTAAGCTTTCGATTTCATACGCTTAATCTCTCAATTAAACTCTCTAATTTGTTTCTGATTCTGCTTTTGACTTGCAGAAGAAGTGAAGGCCAAACACCCTAAAATCACATATGCTGACCTCTACCAGGTTTTCACTTTCAAATGTTTTTATTGGTTTAGGGGTCTATTATGAAGTGCTTTTAATGGCTAAAAGTGCTTTCAGACCAACAAAAGTGATGCAATTTGATAAAACCCTCAACGTGACTAACTTTAATGGCTTGTCTTCCAGCTTGCAGGGGTTGTTGCTGTAGAGATCACCGGAGGTCCATCCATTAACTTTGTTCCGGGTAGAAAAGTATGTGCGTTGGAAAAGTTTCGTATCACCTACCTAACTTGTTCTTGTTTAATACCTTTCTTTACCTCTCAATCAGGACTCTAATCAATCTCCACCTGAAGGCCGCCTTCCAGATGCCAAACTTGGTATGTCATCAACCGTGTTCATCTGAGTTTTGTATCGTGAAATGGTTTCGAAATCTGCAGTTGTTTGATTTTGTTAATAGGTGCATCACATTTAAGAGAAGTTTTCTACCGCATGGGCCTGTCCGACAAAGACATTGTGGTATTATCGGGAGGCCATACATTGGTAAGTTGCTCTCCATCCGTAGTAAAAGTAGAAAATGTTCTTCATTTTACTCAACAGAGCGTTAAAATTTAGAAATCATCTTTTTCTGTTGGTTGTGTAGGGAAAGGCAAATAAGAGATCTGGCTTTGAAGGCCCCTGGACAAAGGAGCCTTGGAAATTCGACAACTCATACTTCGTGTAAGACATTCGTGAAAAGGTTTATCTACTTTTGTATGCAGCAATCAATGGATATCTCAATCGAATAAAACCGTACCTTTGATGTAAATTCTGTCATCAGGGAACTACTGAAAGGGAAAACGGAGGGACTCCTGCAACTTCCGACGGACAGGGTGTTGGTGGAGGATCCAGTGTTCCGTCGCTATGTTGAGCTATATGCTAAGGTAGAAAAGATGAAGCTATTTCGAAAATGTAAATAGTTTCACACAGTTGTGGTGGGAAAGTTCATACAATATATAATTGATTATATTACCATATCTGTGCAGGACAATGATGCATTCTTCAGGGATTATGCAGTATCACACAAGAAACTATCAGAACTAGGCTTCACTCAACCTTCTTCGGCTCCGAAAGTCCTAGTTACTCTTACAATTGCTGCACTAATCGCTGCATTGGTGTACGATAAATGCAAAAGTTTCGTCCAAGACATGAAGACTCTCGTTTAGGGCAGTAACGTACCTATCCCTCGTTTGTATATACCCGTCTCTCTCAATCTTTCTCGTTACATGGTCACCACAGCATGTATATGTATTATGTTCAACACTTCATTATATAATCTAGATTGGTTTTATTGTTCAAAACTTTGAACTCGCTAATGAATATTTCCATAATTTCCCTCAAACGATTATCTTTTGATGGCTACCCCGGCAACCAGGGAGGCCAACCGCGCTGGTCTCAGCAAAGGCCCCGGGAGTTCTGGCCGTCATGAAAAAACAGCAAAGGGAAGCATGAGAACTTAAAACAAAAATTAAACAGGTTTTCTTATTCTGTTGAAAGACTTAGCTTACATGATGAATACATAGAATCATCAGCTTCCGTAGAGTGGATTAAAGTGACAAATTACAACTTCAACTACAATGCCAGAAGATAATTAAAGGGGAGAACAAGTTCATCTCCAGCCGAAAAACACTATTTAACTCCTCGAATTAAACGAATTAAGGTAATATTTAACTCCTTGAATTAAACGAATTAAGGTAATTAAGGTAAGCAATTATAGTTAGTTTAGGCCCTTGGACTTAGAGACAGTGTAATATCCTGAAAAACCCTGAGCCTCTTCTCAACCTTCTTCGGAAACATCCCGGAACTGTTGCTGATTCCAATCGCGTTCCCAGCCTCATTAGTCGGGTCAATGACCGCCGCGATGATAGCCTCTTCGAAGTCCTTGTTGTCGGGCAACAACCCTGTCAACTCATTCCCTGGTTCTTCAAGAGAGAGCCTTCTTCTCGTCTTGTTCTCAGGTACGCCCAAATCCAAAGCAGGTTTCGTGATCTCAATCGCCTCGGTCACTCTCATTGAATTAGCAGCATTCCCAGACCTTGTCCTCTTAAGGGTCTCAGCAAATTGAGAGGCGGTTGGGGGAGCCGGAATGAACTTTGAGAAGTAAGGCTTTGCAGCCACATTCAATGAGTTTGGTTGAGGGACTTGATTTATACTTTTAGTCTGAGGAAATCCTATTTTCCTGTTCGCGAAAATGTTTGAAGAATTGACATTCTCATCAGCAAACTCATCGGGCTGAGATTTCACAGACTCGGCTGTTGCCGGCAGGCTTGCATGGTTGTGGTCTCTGCAAGGCTGAGGCTGCCAAATCGACGAAGAACCCAGGAAGGCATCGAAAAGTCTGCTCTGCTCAACGCGGTCTCCACCCTTGTTCATCATCTCAGACTCGAGATCCTTGAGCATCTGCTGAGCCCTCTCATAGGCCTTGAGATGGGAATCTGTCCCTCTTGGACCATCCGCAACTGCCGGCTTAACGCGGCGGAGATTCTCCTTAGCCTCGGAGATTCTTCCTTGCTTCATTAGGCAGATTCCTAGGTTGCACATCTTGTTGTTATCCGGCGCAATTGTGAGTGCTCGGCGATAAGCATCTTCTGCTTCAATGTAGTTGTTCTGCTGCATCAAAGCCCACCCCAAGTTCCCCTGAGACGCACATAAAGTTAATTAGTACTAATTTTCAGTGATTTCGGAGTTGAATCAAACAAATATTTGGTTTTGGTTTTGGATTGCAATCTCACCAGTAATCTAGTGGCTTCTTGTTCCACAGAGACCTGAAATTTCTTCCCCTGAGATCTGGCGGTTTTCGTGCGCTTTCCGTTGAAAGCCATCCCTTGCTGAATCAAATACAACTTGTGCCTCAAAAGTGCTATTTGGTCATCCAATCTCCCACATCTCTATATAAATTAAAAGTCACCCAAAATTATCAGTAAATTGTAAACATTCAACTTTATGAAATTCTTTTCGGGGTTTTCATAAAGTACCTTGTAAAGATCCAAAAGGATGTTGTCAAGGGACTCCTGGGCTTGATCCGAACACCGGTGTCTCAACGACTTGATGGCTTCGATAGCTTCTTCCGCCCGGTTCTGTTGCTTCATCACAATCGCCATGTCCTTCAAAGCACTATCCACTCTGTCCCCAGAATTAATGGCTGCCCAAAACAGCGGGATTGCTTTCTCCGGATCCTTCTCCACCAGCTATTCAAATTTCGAAACCCATTAATCAAATAATGAATTAAAAAAAACCATAAATCAAAACCAGAAAAATTCAAGTTCTGAGAACCAAATTTTGAAAGGACCCAGAAGATTTATTTACCTGAACATTCTTGGCTCTGACATAAGGACTGTCGCCTACCGGGACTTTGTGAGTCACGTGAAACAACTCCGTCCCGACAGAGCGAGTCCTCGAAACTCCGAGAGGCTTGGCCGGAGAGGAAGGAGCAGACTTGGTGGGTCTGAAACCAGGCGGAGCATTCCACATATCCTGCAACATCTTTGAAAATTATGAATGATTTGATCTCACAAAGGAAGCGAAATCTAACGATGAAGAAGAAGATATGTGGAAGGCTTTGGATTGAAGAGAAAGAAAGCCTCTGAGGAGAGAAGAAGATTGGAGGAGAGGGAGAGGGAGAGGGAGAGGGAGAGGGAGAGAGAGAGAGAGAGGGAAGGGAAGGGAAGGGAAGAGGATGAAGAATCTGTGTGACTTGTGGGGTAATATGAGTAAAATATAGGGATTCGAATTTTTGACCGTTGGGGGTTACCGTTCTACAACTAGCCGTTAGGGTGTGTGCTTGTGTGATGTTGCGGAAAATGATCCTATGCGAGCATCCGCACCGTTGTAATGTATGGTCATACATTCATACATGATTGGTCTGATTCTTTGAGGGTACATATGCAACATGACAGATGATAATAAAAGTGCGAAAAATCATAAAGAAATAAAATTTGGAAAAGACATGCTTCAGATCATAATTGTTTATATTATAAATCACTGTGTAAAAATATATTTGTAAAAAAAAAAAAGAATATATATATAAATCTAGGGTTTAGTCATCAAATAATATAAATATAAATTGATCAGTATTAAGAAAAGTATCGCGTACTGTCTATCTATTTTAATAATTGACCAACTAAACGAATTTAGCTTTAACTAATTTTTTTCATAAACGATCTTTATAGAATGGTTAGTAGGGCAAAGAATTTCTATGTTTTGCTTCAAACATTTTTCTTTAAGGAACAAATGTTTAGCTACACATTTTGATGAGTTGAGGAACCAATAGTAATGGAGTTTTAGTTGAGGGACCATTGCTCCAATTTGATTAAAATTGAGAGACCATTGATACAATTTACTCTTTGATAAAATGTTGTCCCAGATCGATCCGCAAACAAATTCTACCTAGTTATAAGACCAAATCAATCTCTACCAGATGGACATAGGCCCACTGAGCCCAGTTTCTCAGAAAGAGAGAAAAAAGTTTCACCCAAGCCCAACATTATGATCAGCACACCTAGCAGCTCAAAATTCTGAAATTTTCAATTAGATAAATTAGAATTAGATGCCTTATTTTAGATTTTTTTTAAATTAAATATTTGTTACTTTTCAACTTTTGATTAAAGTGCTTTTACTTTTAATTAAACTTTATATTCCATGTATATTCTTAATTTAAGTATTTTATAAATTCTTTTAAATCCAATTCTATGTAAAAAAAAATGCACTCAATAATATTCATTAATTTCTTGCTATTTTTATAGAATCTCATCCCTTCCTCAATTTAAGGATTCAATTATATCTACTGGGGTCAAGATTAATTGGATGAAGTATAGCTTTTCCAATTTCCAACTTAACATTTTATATAGATTGTAAAAAAAGAAGAGTTCGTTTATAATTAAAATTGAGATGTAGACTAGACTGCCTAATTTCATGCAGTTGAAAATAAATTTGAATTTTTTAATAACTACTTATAGTAAAAACGTGAACTAAGAGTTTTCACATTTTTATTTTTATTTAAAATGAGTCCTTATTTCAATAATTATTTATTAAGAGTTGACAAAATATTTTTTAGTGCAATGTTTTAATGTGAAAAGTTATTTTTTTTTTGGTTTACACAACTTACACATAACGTACCATAAGTTTTGTATGTACCAAAATAAGGATAATACAACGTACTAATAAATTGGTACGTACTAAATAAAGAATTGCATAACGTACCAAAATACTAATACATACCCAGATTAAATTTATATAACGTACCAAATGATTGGTACATTATATTTAATATATTTGTTTGGTACGTCATATTTAATATATATGCATGTTATATCTCATAATTGTATGTTAATAGGATGTTTATGTGTTTTTAGAATTTAAAATAGCAAATTATTTGAATAAGAAAAATTCATTTTGAACGAATTATGATAAGACAAGATAGGATGTTTGTGCTGATTTTAGAATATTTGTGATATTATTTTCTGAACTAGTTGGTTAATTAAATACAATAAAAATCATAATTTTTAATTAAAAATTAGTAGGAAAATGTTTGATCAAAATTTTAAAAGTTATAGATGTTTGATTAAAAAAATTCAAATTTGAGGCATCTATATCAAAATGCCCCTAATGCCTTTGTGAACTACAAGTCATGGCATATTTTGCATCCTAAAAAGGAAAAAGAGAAAGTACAAGGATAGATGAACTTCTGCATCACATTACAAATGTCCCACAAACGAGATCACTACATACAACCGGATACAAGAGGGCGGTAGCCATGGCAGCCAAAGGCCTTGACTGTCAAACAACTGACGGCCACCACTTCGGACTACAGCAACCGGTCCCGAAAACTGTCTGTTTTGTCAAGTCTAGCTGTACCCGAGCTTGATGATTCGCCCATTGCATCTGGGGAAGCTGCTCTCTGGGATGCATCTTTCTTCAGAGAAGTTGGTATACCTGAAATTTCCTGAAGAATAAGAGGAGAGTATCAGTTAACATAATCTATAGACGGGGCAAGAATCCGACAGGGCAAGTCTATCCTCTCTTGAGATAACCTTTGTTCACCGTCACCTCAAATGGAGCAATAGACCTCATTTTATATGCGTTCCTCATTACATCATTGTCAAAACAATATAGAAGTACATGGTAGTATTGCAAATGAGTAACGTAAAACAATCAATTCCAGATTACCTTCATCAGATGCAACCTCAGGTCACAAGGTCGAACTTGATTTCCAATGCACGCCATCACAAATTTTGAATAGTTATACAAAACATCAGCTGCGGCTTGCTTTTTCTCGTCAATCTATATAAACAAAGCCAATGGAGAGCAAATTAGAGTAAGTCGTTTCGGCAGTTAAGAAGTATCTCATCAAACTTCCAACACCAAAAACCAGTTGATTTAAAACATAAACGAAAGTAACAAATTCAAACAATAAAAACCTCTTTCCGCCAGCAGTACACAAACTATTCAAGACATTCGAACTTGAAAAGGTACCAATGGTTCCGTCACCAAATTTAAGCATATCAGTCAACAAAAGCAATGACAAGTGAAATCTACTATATATCAATAGAACAGACTATACGTTCGTGGAGTTTCCAAACTCGATCATAATAGCCGGACCTAATCTAAACAGTTTCTGGCTATCACTTCACCATAGCCCTCTAGTTCCTTAGCTAATCGTGAAAAAAGTGAAGAGGGAGCACTATCATGCCCCATTGGAACAAGGGGCACATCGAAAACACTAGACCAACAAAGACCGGAATCATGGAACAATGTCATTCCCCATTAGACCAATCAATTGTTACCCAAAACAGTTCAACCATGCATATTCTTTTTGCATTTTACAGAACTAACATATCGCGGCCGTCTCAAGGCGAATGTTGAACTATTGATGGTGCCCGGAACGAGGCTCAAAGAACTGGAGGGGCGGGGCTAGTAAGCTGGTAAACGTTTTCTCCCCATTGCAGGCGGAAGCTACGGCTATTCGAGCAGGATTAGCTTGGAGGGTGGAAAGGGGTCTACAAAATTTCATCCTTGAGAGTTGAGAGTGATTCACTCCAGATCACTTGGGTTCCTGAATTTGACGACTGTTGGTCCTAATTTCCCGATCAAACCCAATTTTTATGAATTGGGACGTTTGAGAGTTTGATTTGGGTTGGTTTATACGCAAAATTCTCACACAAATTCGAAGCTCTAGAGGCTTGAAATTAATGAATTCCCAGATAAACTATAAACCAAGCTCTAGAGTTTGATTTGGGTTGAAAGAGAGAAGAGATTAAGGTCGTGATAATAATATCAGAATTAAAACTGAAATTAATTTCTTCCAAATAAAAGGAAAAATGAAATTAAGTTGGGAGTATGGAGAGACAAGAGTACCTCGTAATCTTCTTTCATGGCGGAAGCTCTGGGTCTCCGTGGGGGTTTCCAATGTGGAAGAGAGAAGGAACTACAAAGTAGAAAGAAAGAGTTTCAGAAATTAATTCTTTAAATATATCATTAGAAATACACGAACAAATTGGCCTATTAGCTCAGCTGGTTAGAGCGTCGTGCTAATAACGCGAAGGTCGCAGGTTCGAGACCTGCATGGGCCATTTTTACCAGTCCCTTTTTTTTTTCAAATTTTAATTTTAATTTTTTTAGTGGCCAACCAAAACGAAGCCCTCACGATCGATATCCGCTGACAACTTTTTAAGTGAGACTGATGGTAGTATCAAATCCGGATTTCGTTTCGAATTTTCAAGTGATGATAAGAACATTGTCAAGAAATGTTATTGAAGACCGTAGAGAGAGTTATCAAGAATGTCGTTATGAAATCAGACAGCATGCCATGCTCAATATGTCAATGTGTCTGGTTCGTTTGTAATGACGGTCTTGATAACTCTCTCTTGGTAATGGAGGGGTAGCAAGCTCTCTAGTCCTTCATCTTGATGCACCAGTATGCTACATTTCCAATTTCGTTACAATTGGAAACGAGAGTTTAAACGGTAGACACCGGAGAGCCTGCCCAACAGGCCATTCTTGGCCGTAAATGGTACGGTTGAATTCATATAGATGCCGTAAGCAATCGCAAAGTTAAAGACAACAATTCGAGCAGGCTTCGATTAAAACTTGAATAAGCAAATCTGAATCCATTTGAAGATATAAGCTGTAATAACTAGCAATTTCGAAGCTCATGAGCATACAGAATGCAGGAGGTTGAGATCAGTTTCAGCCAAATCAAGTGCAAAGTACAACTCCAAAAGAACAGCAAGGTGGAGTTCATCGTAAATTAAAGTTGCAAAAGGAAAATACGTAAGATCATGTCTCCCTGGGAGGTCCCTTCTTTGCGGCCTCGGCAGCTGCTTTCTCTGCTTCTATGTCAGCAACAATGGCATCAATTTCAGCTTCTTCAAGTTGCTTCAGACCGTGATCCTTCGTCATCACAGCAACTTCTATGTTTTTCCCTCCACTCTCAACAACCTACAAAATGAGATTTTAGACAATTTGAAATTTATATTTCTCGGGGAACAAAATATGTAACATATAGCATACAATAACACAAGTACAAATGACATGCTCTCTTCCCTAGTCTCAAGGTAAATAGTAATAGTCATGCAAAAAATCTAGACTCTAATGCCTTAATGGCGCACTAGATTTTCTCTGGTTATTTGGACCCGCAAGCAATTTGAGCAGAAGATGTGGCACGGTTTTAGTCCATCATAACTTACAATTTCACATGCTATGCCACTGTGTCGTTTCTAGTGCTGGCAATAAGCCAGTAGTGGCAGTTCTAAAATGATCAAGCTTTAAGGTGTACGAAAAAAAAACTTAACAATCAAAACGAATGCACTATTACTGCATATATGAACAAAGGCACTGAACAAGCATCTAAAATTGCTATGCATTTTGATTTGCATATCCTATTCACCATTATGTCACATTTCAAATCATCGTGTAGCCTCAGATGGACAAAATTTATTGCCTTCCCATTATTATCATTTAGAAACTTTCCCAACTAACATATAGTTTGAAAAACATAACAAAATGATGGGTCCTAAATTCATTTGTTGAATCGAATCTGGGTTTGGGACATCAAGAATGTTCTGAGATCAGTCATAGAGAACAGAAAATTACGTGCAACAAATAAAGGAAGCCCAAACAACTTACCTCAAGCAAAGCCCGGATTGCAAGCTTTACAGTTTCTTGCCCAGAAGTTTCTTTGTAGTTCTTCTCCAGAAACTCCCTTATCGAATTGGAGTTTCTTCCAGTTGCATTGGCTTTCCATGCTGAAAAAGTCCCAGAAGGATCTGTCTGATATAGTGATGGTGAATCTGTGTATGGATCAAATCCGACAATCAAAGTTGAAAGACCAAATGGTCTCACACCACCACTCTGTGTGTACTTTTGCTGAAGACCAGCAATGTATCGCGTTATGTACTCGACAGTCACTGGATCCTCAACAGTAAGCCTGTGGCTTTGACATTCAATCCGTGCCTTGTTTATCAACACACGAGCATCTGCTTTGAGCCCAGCGCAGGCTAGAGCAATGTGATTGTCCAGGTTCACAATCTTCCTCACCGATCTGCACAGCAGAAGAAAGAATATGGTTAGAAAGACAGTCCACAAGCACAATCTCTTTTTCTTTTCCTTAACAACTACTCATAATGTTCAAAGGAAATTGATTTATGACATATATTGCATCCAAAATGAGCAACTAAAGTGTGGTTTGTGCTCCAGTCGAAGGGTAGGTCTGCAAGGTGCATCATAGATCCATACAACCCTATTGACACCAATGTACATAGAGACCGCGCATAACCTAGATAGTGTTTTGATAACTTCTTCAGTAACAATCTTAATTCAATCGCAGTAGAGAAAGCAAAACACCAAATCAGATATTTGTATCAGAAATCTACGGGGCTTAGTTAATGCAGTCTACTGAAAGAGTCTATAACAATTTAATAACTTTTCAGATTCGATTAGGACTTCCAAGCATGATTACCAATATTTTAAACAAATGGGCTGTCGACTACTTTAGAAATAAGTAAAAAATATATTTTTTCACTGATTAGACTAGAATTTCCACCTTAAAATTGACATCTTGTTCGTCTTAAAATTGCAACGACCCAATTGAAATCTTACCCATTACTTTCAACTGCAATTTAAGCGACTATTCAAACCAATTGCAGCGATTAAAACCCAAAAGAATCAGAAATCGATGCGATTCAAAAACCCTAACCATAAACCCAACTTCAATTTTCCTCAGTTAGATCAAGGCAAAGAAAACAAAATATGTACGTGTGATCTCGATACCTGGAGTCTTGGAGCTTAGCAGTGGACTTCTTCTCGACGCCGAGAACAATGGTGTCGGTGCCACGGACTCCAACGGCGGCGTTACCCTTACGGACCGCCTCGAGCGCGTACTCGACCTGGAAGAGATGACCGTCTGGAGAGAAAACCGTAATGGCTCTGTCGTACCTCGCCATCTTTCTGCTGCCTCGTCTTCTTCTTCTTTCTTCTGATCTGGGTTTTCCGGGGAGCTGGTGCCTTTTCGGTTTGGGAGTTCTCTTTCGCAGTGACAATTATATTTTGATATTCTCGACTTAGGCCACAAGTCACTTGTTAATTTTCCCTTCGCACCATGGGGCAAAATGGTCATTTAAGATTTTTGGGTTTTATGTAATTTTATAGAAATTACAATTGCCACTCAAGAATTTTGATTGTGCACTTTAAAATTTTTATATTTGGAAAATAAATTATACTGACGGTGTTTAATAAAAATTTTGGACTGACAATAATTGTTTCTATATTTATTTTTTTGTAATTTTTTTTTCTTTTGTTTAAGCGAACATTTACTACAAATTACAAAGGATTTGTACCTCAAATTCAATTGATTAAAAAGTGTTTACTAGATTTATTGTTTGATTCCCCTATTATCACGGTTCTACCGAGCAATCAATTCTTGTCATACGTTTTTTCCAATCCATAAAAGATCTTATGGTGTTAAAAATAATAATAAGTCACTTAATACTACGGTCTATGGTGTACTGAAAAAAAAAAAAAATCTACGGTCTATGATGTTCCTCATCACTTGTAAGTGAGGAGGAGTATTTATCAATAATTGCCAAAATTTGACACCTTATTTTATAAATGTCACATTTTATAAAAATTTTCAAATATAGCAAAAAACTCATGTGAATGGACCTAAATACGCTCAAAATCTCAAAAATCATTTACACAGAAAACCCAAAGCACTTGAATAGATCTCCTCTACATTATTGTTCAAAGTGCAAGGCCGCGAGGACAGTTGGTAAACGTCGTTGAGCAGTTGCGGGTGTTGTCCAACTGTCAACTAATTGAGTACCAAATTGAAAATTTGTTGCTCATGTCTAAAACTCAATTGTTACCGTTAATACAATATCATCACGGTAAAATATTATTTGTACAATCATTTGGCAGACGTGATATTAGTTGAGGATTCTAACTCATTGAAACCAAATTCCAATCCGACTGTGCTTACGAATTTTCCTTAAATTTGTTGGATGACATGGATTTAAAACCATAACAGTTTTCATAAGAGGATCATTTCAATTAAATTCGTGCTTCTCTTCCCCGCAAATCTAATTAATCTATAATCCCTATTAGCAAGTTCAAAATTGTACCCGATCTCACAAACCAATCAAAACTAAACAATGGAGTGAGGGTGTGCGAAAATGCCGCTCTCGACAATGGGGCTAAAAATATCAATTCATGTGCAGAAAGTTTTAAATTTTTAGACATGAAAATGATTGGGAAGTTTAGCAATGTTGCTGCTTGGATATATAGTTGTGGGGTGAGAGTTTTGCCACTAATTTTGATTTGGTTTTAATTTTGAAGGTATTTAGGTCTATTTAAGTAACTTTTTTGTTATATTTGAAAGATTTTATCAAATGTGACATTTATGAAATTTGGTGTTAAATTTTGGCTATTATTGATAAAAACACAGTGAGATGTCATAAATTCGATTCTCACCAAAGGTGAATTTGAATCACATTATTGCCAACTTATTGTGAGGCTAAGCTCATTCCTTCTTACTTTAATGTAGATAATATCGTTCGTAAAAAAAAAAAAAAAAAAAAAAAGATCTTATGATCGTTTAATAACTATTTTTATTCTATATTTAAAAATAAAATTAAAATATTTTTTGATAGTTGTTTTATTTTCCACTTTTTAAAAATTGAAATAATTGTTTTATTTTCCACTCTTTTCAAAATTGAACACCATAACTTAAAAGCTACATTTGTGTGTCACATCCCGGCCTGGGGTCTACCACATCGCAGGCCCGCTCCATCACCGTAGCACGATATTGTCCGTTTTGGGCCCTGACCACACCCTCACGGTTTTGTTTCTGGAAACTCACGCGAGAACTTCCTAGTGGGTCACCCATCATGGGAATGCTCTCGTCCGAACTCGCTAAATTTCGGAGTTCTAATGAATTCTGAAGCCAGTGAGCTCCCAAAAGGCCTCGTGCTAGGTAGAGGTGGGAATATACATCGAAGGCTTATATGATCCACTCCC